TAGCTACAACCTCTAGCAAGAATCTTCCCAGACTGAAACCCCAGCTCCCAAGTAATGCCACCCACAACACCGTGAATTCCTCAGGGAGGTGCTCATCCTCTTATCTCTCCCTCGTGCCCCAGGAGATGAAAGAAAATGTTTTTCTCCCTGAGTCTGGCCTTCATACTTCCATTCCATCACACCTATCCTGTATCCACAACTGACCCTATCTCCTTTACTTTCCTCTGCAGCCATCATGGAAGTGCATGAAGACTTCTTTGTATACAGGAGTGGGATTTATCAGCATACCCCTGTAGCAGGTGGGAAGCCAGAACAGTACCGACGGCACGGCACACATTCCATCAAAATCACTGGGTGAGTGAGATCACTGGAAGAGAAAAGTCAATGAGAAACCAAAACCCAAGGTGTTCCTCCGTGAGGGCGTACTTCATCTAATAAGAAATGTCAAAGTTGTCTTTCCAGCAGTAGATAACAGCTCCTGGGAAACTCAAAACAATATATGAAATTAAGGACCTTCTCTGAAGGTTTATGGCTTTGCATCTGGCTTCCAGAACATTGCTCAGATTTATCATTCTGACCATTATTTATGGACCTGTGGAATGCTTTACAACTTCAGGTGGTCCTGTTCTAGGTCACCAAATTTTGCACTCGCTCTATCCCAACCCAGTCTTTCAGAACCAGCCAGAGTGCTACTTGGACTCTACTATAGTATTTATAGTATACTATAGTAGTATACTAGTCAGTATTTGTTAAATTTCCAGGTGTCAACCCTAGGTGATCTATAACTTTACACTACCTGATTTTCATTAAGGAAGCAAAGGGTAACGCAGCCCCAGATGCAGGGGGGGAGTTTGCACAATGGATAGTGCTAACAAGAATGTACGCGCACGCGCGCGCACACACACACACACACACAAGCAAACCCTGCAGACTGAAAAGTACACTGCTTTAATCTGTTCCCTAATACGCTAAATTTCTATACGTGGGGCTATTGTTTTCCATCCAGTTGTCACTTGAAGGAGATCTGGAGGAGATATAGATCTCCCTTGCAGGTTGTAGTGATACAACCAAGACAGGGACTTAGTGAGCATGAAGTCTACCACTCCGGCTTGACATTAGAGGATTTGGTTAACTACTATTCTGTGACTAAATCAGATGGCCTGGTTTTGGGGTGCAGTAAGCCACAGACCAAGGAAATTAACAGCAATATCTTTCCCTTTGTAAGTGACAGATTTTTGTTATCAGATGCCTGTTGAATGATGTAAGTAAAACAAACTTTTGCCTGCAAATATTTAGCACTTCAGCTAGAAAGTGCTAAAGTATTTTGTACCTAAAGCAGCCCTCGTATGTATCATTCCACATCTGAGCTCTGAGAGCACAGAGAAAGCATGTGTAAGGAATGTAATTATTTGAAATTCCAGAACAAACCGATCCAACTTCCTGGATTAATGTGTACAGGTAGTCCTCGGGTTAAGAACGCCCAGTTTAAGGACGACCCATAGTTAAGATCAGAGCCTATTGTAGCAAAGTTTGAGTTAAATACACAATGGTTCAAGTTCATTACACAAACCTACTTATAAATATTATACAATAATACTGTTCTGGCTTACATACAAATCTGACTTAAGGACAGACCTTGGGAATGGAACTCGTTCTTAAACTGGGGACGCCCCGTACATCAGATTTCAAGTTACCTCCTGGTATTTGCAGCTCCCACAGCTTTCAATGCATTCACATAATCTCACATAATCATCTGCACAATGTACATAGAATCTACGTTTGGAAATATGCATTTGAGTGTCAATTTTTATGCAGTTTTTAAAATCATGGATAGTCCTGGATGAATCAAATGAGAGTTATATAAAAGTATACTCATTTGTTTTCTGAAAGGTATAATGTATTTTACTGGCTGTCGACGAAGTGTGGCAATAGGAGGATCTGGTGGAAAAAAGGAAACCCACAGTTGCTGGGAAAAGGTGCAGAGACTTGTAGAAGTGCAAGAGAACATGTTGAGGAACAGGGAACAGAAATGTTCATCAGCTGTTTCTTTGCATCTTGCTTTCAGCCCTGCTAAGGGAGACACCATAAGTGGATCCTGTGAAAACTGGAAGAAGGAGATATGTAGATAAATGGTTTTCTTTTGACTTCCTCTCTCCTTGTTGGCTTCTCCATGCCCCTGACTTTTTAGAAGCTGCCATGGGTGGGGAGATTATGATGTCAGCAAGTGTTTTCTCTTTGCAGTGCAAAGAGAAGGACTTCTCATTCCTCATTATCCTGCTTTGAAGGCACTAGCTGGGCATCTGCAGGTGGGGTTTGTTGCAAGCCAACATGCCAGCCACTGGTGGAATGAGCCACAGATGCTGCTAAGGAAGGCTGAATGGGGAGGAAGAAGCTGTACCTGAAACTGCTCCAGTGGTGGAGTTCAGCACAAATGTTCTTTTGAGATTCTTGGGCAATTTTGGGGGCAGACGAGGGAATAGTGGAGAAAGGGAGATTTTCCAACCATTTCTCCAGGGTAGGTCTTCCTTTTTGCTGCGATAATTGCACAGGTCCTTCCCAAAGCCTTTTGGGAAGACATTCCCTCCTGAAGTCTTCCTTTAGGTTTTCCAGAGAGGCAGAATGGCTGCAGTTTACTGGAGAGAGGATGCTACAATGAAAGATATTTCCACGTAGCTGTGGGTCACCCCACAGTTCAATAAGGAAAGAAAGTTCAGTAAGGGCCACATTTGATTGCCTTGAGTTGGATAATGTTCTCTGAAATTCTCTCCCTTCCATTGAAAACTTCTTACCAGCCAATTCTCTTTCATTGAATGGAATTAGAATTTGAAGGAAGGTCTTTCTACAAGAGATGCCCACAAGATGTGGTTGATAAGTCAAGATGGTGGCTGTGATGTGTCCCTCATAAAAAGCCAGGCAGATTTCAACCAGACCATCACAGCCACCGTCTTGACTTTTAAAGTCATACTCTGGGGACTCCCCTGCCTTTTACAAATCTGCAGTACATCCACATCCATGTACAGTTCTGGTTGCCACATTTGAAAAAGGACAGGAGAGTGACTCGAATAGGTCGGACGAGGACAACATACATTAGCAGGGTTCTGGAACACTTTCATTTGAGAAAAAGCTAGAAAATCTGGGAACCTTTAACTTAGAAAAAGTCAACTGAGGGGGAAATAAGTGGATAAAGCCATGTATGGCATGGAGAAAGTGGACAGTTTTCATCTCTTTTTCTAAGCACTCAGACTGGGAGTCTACCAGTAGTGCTGACTGAAAGGTTTCGAACAGGCAACATGAATAATTTCCTCTCCCACGGCCACATCGTTAACCTGTGAAATGTGTTCCTCCGTTGCGCCTTCTATATGGCAGCTGAAAATAAAACCACCTATTTCTCCCTTGCTCCTATATGTTCTAGGTCACTGTGGTGAATTTATCTCAACCTTTTCATTTCAGAGAGCTTCTGTCACCCACACAATGGCCCAGATGTGTACTGCGCCAGTTAGCCTCTGCCAACCATTGATGACAGACTGATAACAGTTTATGTTAAATCGATTTTTTTACAACCGGTTTTCAGATAACTTTCACACCGCTGGTATTCAGATGTCCTTTTTCATCATTCCGATTTATGATCTTTCCTTGCAATACCTTTGTGTCCTTTAATCTGCAAAATGTATTACCCCAAGAGGTGACAATGGCTATTGACTTGGACAGCTTTAAAAACAGATTAGTTAGCTGATTAGCTTGTTAGTTAGTTGTCTATTTATTTATTTAAATCATCGGTCGCCTGACTCCATCCTGATTCTGGGCAGCGTACAATATGAGCGCACAACCACAGAATACAAACAATACAAAAATAACACAAAATTCTCACAATCGTCCCTGCAAAGATCCGCCATCTACTCTAGTCTGAAGCTTTGGGGAAGAGCCAGCTTTTAAGAGCTCATTTGAATAAGGTCAGGGTAGACTTCAATCCAAGGGGGAGGCCCTACAACACAGAAGGCCCACTTCCTGGGTCCCATCAGGTGGCCCTGTGTAATTGATGGGACTCGGAGATTGCAGAGCATGCCATCTTCTAGATTGCATAGGACAGGAGAAGCTACGGTACTTCATGACCCAGTTCACGACAGGCCCAGTTCATGGCGGACAGTGCTGTCAAGGGCTAACCATCTTGAAGACTCAAGGCTACCGCCAGATCAGGGGCAGAAGTCCCCAAATCCCATTTGCAGAGCAACAACAGCTAGAGAATACGTGTAAGGGCCCCAGAGGCATCTGATTGGTCCCTGTGAGAAACCAATGTGATGGCCATGTCTAGTAGGGTTCTTCTTAGGTTCATACAAGAGCTATGAGGGGGGAAAAAACCCACACAAATGAGAATTTCTCTGTCTAGCACTATATTTTAACCCATTCCTGAAGGTGAAGCAGTTCTGTTTTGATGCTGGGCATGGGTGAAAGGGTTGGCTTGTTTTCGTCTGCGTCATGTGGAAAATTCTGGAATCTTGTGCACTGAGAAATGCAGATGACTAAACCTTCTGGATCTCTGCCAAGAGAGTTGTCTTGGCAGCTGGATTCATCACAAGTCAGCCAGCTTCCCTCCAGAGGTGCCTTCTCTCCCACCCCCAGCTCAACATAGTTGCCTTTTAAAGACAATCTTTAAATCCCAGCTTCTGAGCCATTTTGGCAGGGCTTGCTGGAGAATTTGAACCGGATTGCAGCAAACCAGGAAAGGTGCAAAACTGTAAGCCAGTGGTTTTCAAACTTAGCACTTGAAGATGTGTGGACTTCAACTCCCAGAATTCCCCAAACCAGAACTGCATTGTCTTCACAGTGGTGATCACAATACCCATCCGGGAAAAGATTCAGCAGCAACATTTGCACAGCATGCTAATCTGGGTAACTGAGCCCATCACACCCACCATGCTGGCTGGGGAATTCTGGGAGCTGAAGTCCACGCATCTTAAAGTTGCCAAGTCTGAAAAATACTGCTCTAAAGTAACCATTGACCCTTCTTAATCTTTTATCTTGCTTTCTGAGCTGCATAAGCCCAGGATTGTCCCAGTTACTCATTCCAGCAAGAACATCAAAACACTGGTGTGCAAAAGGCCCCCGCTGGAATGAAGGAAAAAAAGTGCGCCACAGGCAAGCTGTGACCGTCCGCCAGAAAGTCAGTGCTGTATTTTCCATTTACCTTATTTTCTCGTGCTCATTGTAAAAGGAAAGACAGGCTCCATTCTGCCTTATCAGCCAGGAATGAGATGGGAACCCCCTCGAGCGAGTGCCAAGTCTTTGCTTCGGCCACGCCATCTTCATTTCTGAACAGAAATAATTCATGCTTGTGTGCGCCATGCATTTTCCCCAGAGGTTCCTGACAAACTGTGGTTTGCAGCAGGCCACTTGCATAGCAGGTAGTAAAGGGGAATCGTGGACAAGGAGTCTAGCAGTGGCAATCCTGTTTATTAGCATGTATTTATTAGTAGAATTTATATGCAGCTGAACTTACTTAAAACGACTCCGTTTTAAAGGAGACACAGTAAAAGGGTTTTGATCACAGCTTCATTTGTAGGACTTACGATAATAAATTATTCCAGAATTCCCACTTGAGGCACAAATGGCCAGGCTCAAATTATCCTAGGTTGGACACATTATGTGAAGTCCTAGGTCTCTGGAGAAGTCAATCATTCTGGGAAAGGTAGAAGGAAAGGGGAAAAACTGATGACCAGCAGCAAGGTGGATGGACTTTATTACAGGGGTGATGGGTACATCATTGGAAGATCTGGAGGACCAGGCTGGGGACAGATTCTCATGAAGAAAACCTATGTGGTCACTAAAAGTTGAAACTATGATGGTGACACACCATCATTATCATCAGTCGTATCTGTATTTCTTTTTTGTTCTTGCAATACTCCATGCCCATTCTGGTTTCTTCTACCTGTTTTCATGTATAGTCCTCAGAAATCCTAGCATCATCTTGAGAATACTCGATTGCCTACCTCCTCTTTTCCCATGCCTATCTTCCCCAACTTGCAACCCTCCAGATGTGTTAGCAGTTGACCAAACATTTTTATTTTGTTTTGTGCCACAGGTGGGGAGAAGAACGGAAGCCTGATGGGTCAAATCGGAAATATTGGGTGAGTGCCACCAAGGATAGTAAATGTGTTCCTTCTGTCAGTGAGTTAAGAATACTGTATTTCAACACAGTGCACTTAACCAGGTCAGCCAGAGGCATCCATCTAGATCAGTGTTTCTCAAACTTGGGCAACTTTAAGACATGTGGACTTCAGCTCCCAGAATTCCTCAAGGGTGGCTGGGGAATTCTGGGAGCTGAAGTCCACATGTCTTAAAGTTGCCAAGTTTGAGAAACACTGATCCAGATCATACCATCTAGAAGTCTCTCACATGTGGATCTATCTATAAGGGCATATCTTGGCCAATTGCTTCCTTTGAAGAATTGCTCCTTATTCTAGGCATTCACTTCTCCAAGTTTTCCAAAGGGTTATCTCAATCTTTTGTGAGTGTTGGTTCTCACACAGTCAGCAAAAAACAACTTGATAGCAAACCTGACTGATACAAAACCAAAGGACAGATGAAAACAATGGAAACAGTCTCAACAGAGGCGGACAAGCAGTACGTAATATAGGACATGAAGGACAAAAAGGGTTTGAACATGATTTCTTTATATACACTTGTCCTTGAGTCTTGCTGAAATGTTTGGTTAAGGCTTCCTAACTTACTTTCTTTAAGTTCTTGAGTTTTTTGTGAATTTGCCTAAATAGTTCCAGTCCACTACGGGGTGAACTCTGACACTTTTCAAGACAATTCCCTTATTGTCTTCCTGTCTCTTAAAACAAGGCAACTCAAATGTGCCCGTGCAACTTTTCAGCAACTCAGACTTTTTGAGTGCAACTTTTTTGTCAAAGTCAGCTCATGTCAAACTTACCAAGGGGTGAGAGAAGCCAATTGAAGGTCGTCTGTTGTCCTCATCCAAACACATATTTAGCAGACAGGTCTTACTTCCTACTGTGCTTTGTTGACCTGGTCTGCTATTTCCCAATGTTGGCAACTTCCAGGGGTATGGACTTTATCTCCCATAATTCCTCAGCCAGCATGGGCATTGGTAAGAATTCTGAGAGTTGAGTGCCATACTTCTGGAAATTACGATCACTGAGAAAATTTGGCCTAGTATCCCAGCTGGATTTCTTCAGTGACCAGAACTGGATGCTGTAATACATGAGGCTGAATCTCTACCAGGAAGCTCCCATAAAATAGTGTCTGTAACAAATTATGTCAAAATGATCACACATGTGTCATGACATCATCATGAAATGTCACCATTACATACTTGTGTCCCAGTGTCTACAAAAGTACATAAATCAAGGTCATTGCATGATGACATCATCACACACGTGTTGTCATTTGTTCCTCCCTTGCCCCTCTCCCCATTTTGGTCCCCCATTTGAGATAACATCCAGCACCTTAGACACAATGCTACACGGGTTCACTATTGACAGGGTTGTTGCAAGCATTTTAAGAAGTATACAAATATAAAACTTCAGTATGATATAAACAGCAATGTTCTTCTATTGGAAACCCTTTTCATAGCCTATTCTATCCCTGGCTTCAGATTGCAGCCAACTCCTGGGGCAAGGCATGGGGTGAACATGGCTACTTCCGCATTGCCCGAGGGACCAACGAGTGTGAGATCGAATCCTTTGTGGTGGGCGTCTGGGGCCGGGTTGGAATGGAAGACATGCACCACAAGAAATGAGGAGATTGGACACTTCAGCCTTGCATTATGATACCAGGAAGAACTTCTTTCCTTCTGTTGGCCCTATGTTATTTCTTCTCCTCAAGGCATCTGGTATCTAGAACAATCACAGGACATATCTACCAGGGGTTTTGCCTCCAAAGACGATGGCCTTTGTCTCTGTTCTGGGGGGAAGCCTAGAATTGTCATGTGGATGTTGGACTTGGAAAGACTTTGGAGGGTTCTTCCTCAAATGGTGGGGAAAAAAACCTGAGAACTTATGAAATGACTACCAAAATGTCTACATTTTCTTGAAAGGGACCAAGAGAAAATACCCAATCTGACACTTTGCTCTGCATAGCTCACATACTCACAACCAGAGTGACCCTGGAGACATCAGAAGCAAACCTTGGCAGAATTCCCTACCAAGGATGGTAAGCTGCAGGTGATCTGAGGAACCCTGCTGTCTGGCAGACCAAGTGAGCATCTTCCTTTGAGTACTTTCTGTGATTCTACATTATAGAGCCATCTTGGAAGCGATGACATCTCTGGCCTGACCTTCCCCAGAGGCAACCATGGTAAAAGAAAGAGTTGCCAGCCTCTTGGGCTAAACTTTCAGGCATCTCAGGTAATACCTCTCCAGATGGGTGGATTTCTAGTCCTAGCAGGCATGTCTGCAGCAATGGCCACTGGCTTCAGAACGGTGAGCACAACTAGGTGGAAACAGCCTTGCCTCATTTTATGTGTGTACAGTGTGTCCTGGGATTCTCAAGAATAGCTATATTGTCTGAAATAAACCCATTTGGAGAGAGGCCAGATTGGGGAAGGCTGGCTTAGCCCACGTTCCCTGTTCTCATGGAACAAAATGTTTCCTGCTTGTCCTATCAAAGGGAAGTAAGGATCTGATACAGGAAAACACCACTTATGCAACATCAGCCTTCCTCTAACCAGGTCCTCCCCAGCTATGTTGGGCTTCTGATGCCCACAATTCCTTGCTAACATGGCCATATATGGCCCTGAAGGCAAAAATCTCTGGAGAGCACCAGCATGAGGTCAAGCTGCCTTGCCTGTCCATAGCAGTCGAAGGAGGAATTCCTGTGTTTCTTAAGCTTCATTGTTCAGCCCACCATGAGGTATGGCTACTCCAAGTCCTTCAGCTGACTTTCCAAGCCTGAGCTGAAATCAGCCCCCAGTCCAGCTGTTTTAGGCCCATTCAAACTGGAAAAGAGGAGGACATTCTTGTCCTTCGCTCTCCTCTGCTTGGTTTCAACTCCCATGCTGCTTCCTCATTTCCCCACAGCACAGCCAAACGCTGCCTTTTGCTGACTCCAGTGACTTGGTGCACCACCCCGGCTCTGATCCATAGTGAAAACCTTTATCCTCCCTGCCTGAAGCCTCCCTCGGTCCACCCCACTGGCCCTTCCTCTTTCTTTTGGCCTTTGCCGCCCGCCCACCCGTCCCTGCACCTTCCGTGCCCGGCGTGAGACTCTCTCGCTGCTAAGCCTCCCTTGGCTTAGTGGGCTTTTGTTGAGAACTTAAGGCCATTGAAAAGCAAGGGGCTCAGCCAGATGGGCTGGCTGGTTTTGTCCCATTCTGCAAGCTTTGCAAGTGCCAGGGTAAACACAGAGCAGCTGTCATTTAGGTGAAAGAAGCGGAAAAAAGTGCATTAAAAGGCGCGGGTTCACGCATGACCGAGGCAGGGAGCTTTGGAAGAAGCGCCTGGGCTAGCAGTCTTCGCACGGAGCCGGAAAACTCTTTTATGTGTGGATGAAGGGAGAAAGTGGAGGCTTCCAGACTTGGATTCCTCTCCTAACACCTGATCAAAGCAGAGATTAGGGGATTCTTGGCCTGGTTCG